AGTAAGATCTGGTGCTTGTTCAGGCATCTCGTGCAAAATGATGCTGGATAAAGAAAAAACTCAAATAGACTCAAAATCTGGTGCCAGACAGAAAAAAAACAACCTGGACTCCAAAAGCACTAAAAAAAGCAAAGAGCCGGTGAGTCATTTCTCAGCCTGTTTCGCCGTCTGTCAGACGCAAATGCTCCGTCGACGTTTTACAATTCCACATAAACGGGAGGTGTTTCCGTGAGCAGCTGGTGGTTTCAAACACTTCGACCTCTCCAGGAAGCAGACGTCCACACGTCGCTGCTCTCCGTCTTTTTAAACAAACGGTTCTGTTGCAGCTCCAAAGTTTTTTGATGAAATGAAGGAAATCTGTCCCTGATTGAGTAAATCACTGGTGGTTTAAAGTCGTGGTTTTTTGAAGTCAAGAGGCTGAAAACGACGAATCAAAGAACCCAAATTTTTAATGTTATCTTTAAACCACAACTTCGTAAGAACAGGAGACAGACAGGAAGTGTTCAGGGCTGAAAAACACATTTGCAGTGCGTTAAAACTGTTTAAAAATTCAACAATGCAATTTTTTTTTGTCGGATTTTTCAGGAGATGGAACCATTTCAGGGCTGAAAAACAGGCGTTCACGAACTCCGGGGCCTAGAAATGACGAAAATGCTCGACTTATTTTCTTTTAAGGATAACTGTCAGATTGGAAGAACGTCCTCTAATATGCATTCAAAAAGGCTACGCTGTGATGAAACAATCCAAACATGTTCTACATCACTCAAGACGGACGCCAACAGATGAAATCCTCTCACTGTCTATGTCTATCAATAGAAACCAAATACCTAAACAGGAAGTTGCTTCTTTCTTCGTTTAGGGTAATCGTTGGATTGGAAAAACGTCTTCTCGTGTGCATCCAAAAAGGAAACGTTGGGATGAAATGATCCAAATATGTTCTACGTCAGCTAGGACGGATGTCAACACATGAAATTCACTCACCATCTACATCCATAAAGAGAAACCCTAAACAGGAAGTTGCTTCTTACGTCTATTAACAGAAACCTAAACAGGAAGTTGCTTCTTTCTTCGTTTAGGGTAATCGTCGGATTAGAAAAACGTCTTCTCGTGTGCGTCCAAAAAGGCAACGCTGTGATGAAATGATCCAAACATGTTCTACGTCACTCAAGACGGACGTCAACAGATGAAATCCACTCACCGTCTACGTCTATTAATAGAAACCAAACACCTAAACAGGAAGTTGCTTCTCTGAAACTACAGGAAATCGTCCTGGCGGGTTTGTTAAACAACCATATTTATCTTTGCCGCTGCCACTTCATCAGCCCCATTTAAGTTTCTGCAGAGATCTGACTCTTTTTCTCGTTGCTTCGGGGGCGCGACGGTCCTCAGAGCTTCGACTACAGACCTTACAGCTGGATGCAGCCAACGCCAGCAATTAGCCGGCAGTGCCTTCCCGCTGCCAGCGCGGCTCATCTTCACCAATTAGCGTAGAGGGCGATATTCTACATGCCGCTTTGATCAAACGGTGGCAGGCAGCGGAGGCAGCAACATGCAGCTGAGAAGCTCCTAATGAAAGAAAATGAGACGTTATTAACGCCTGATAATGTTAATCAGCAAATCGGCGCGCCCAGCGGTGCCACCGGAGTCCCGCTGGGCCGCCTCAGCTGGAGGTAAGAAAACATTTGAGACGCTCTAATGACTGCAGCCGTCCGAACGCTGGAATAGATGGAGCAGAGTGTGTTAAAGCCTCTATTTATTTAGGGTTCTGTGGGCGCTCTGCTCTGACGGGGGAGTCCAATCAAAGAGACGGAGAACCCGGAGCGCACACCAATTACGCTGCCTGATGGTACCGTCCACGTTCCGTCGGCGATCAGGCACGTGGCTGAAGCCGTCGATACTCGTCCCGCTCACACGCGAAATCCAATCTTTGTGGCTCCTTCATCTCTGGCGAAGCGTTCGTCAGCGTGGAGTCGCTCGATAAAGAAAATCAACCGGATCTTTAATCCAACCCGACCTCCTCAGAATCAGTTCCTCAGTACGTCTAATGAAGCAGAGTTTTACCTCCAGACCATGAACACTTTCACAGGCCTTTGAAATATCGCAGTGGTTTTCCCGCCTCGCAGAAAAGACCAGCGTTGGACACCGAGATCGCACGCCGTGGTCGTTGGTAGGAACAGAACCAGAACTGAACTCCACCAGAGGATAAAGACTCTCAACGAGCTCTGAACGCTGGAAACTGGTTCCTCGATGAGATTAAACATGAAAACCAAAGTTGTTTCCACATTTTGCCGCCATAAAACACATCCACAAGTGCTAAAGTTTGACTTCTTTGATTGTGTAGAACTGGTTCTGACCCAACATCATCACACATGAGCATCCAAAGTTTGCCCAGAATGTCGATGCTCAAAGTTGGTTGGAGAGAAAATCTTGCTGATTAAAAAAGGGGTTTTGCCTTTAGATTGTGACACCTGGAGTGGACCAGTTACTCCAACCGGACCTCCTCAGAACCAGCTGGTTCTTTATCAACAGTAACTTTAATGTATTTAACGAAGCCGTGCAGAGTTTTACCTTCATGCTGGGAGTGTTTTCAGAGTTACAGAACCTTGAAGTATTCGTAACAGAACAGGAAACAGACACGTGAAAGTTTTACGTCCACCACAAATGACTTAAATAAACAACTTTAAACAAACCTTTAAAACGTGCCTTTAGTGTTCAGACTGCAACACCTGTAGCGGACCTAAAACTGATCTGGTTGCAGCTCAGATGTGTTTTCAAGCGTAAAAAAGAAGACGTTGAAAGAAGCAACGCAGATTAAAAAGCGTCAAATTTCAAACCCCTACGATGCCCTTGAACGGTTTGTGACTCCAACAGTATTCATAGTGTGAAGGTGAAACTTTGCACGACTTCATTAAACACCCTGAAGTTACTGTTGATGACAAACCAGCTGATTCTGAGGAGCTCATGTGGAGGCTCTGAGGGATTTTTCATAGACGACTTGTGGTCTTCGCTGTAGGTTCGACACCAGATCTCCAATAAAGTCGAGGACGAGGCCAACGAGGCCGAGCGTCTCGTTCTCTCTTCATGAGAAACGTCTCCAGCAAGTTTGTCTGGTTTGTTGAAGTGCAGAGTTTAAAGTCGGAGGCGCCGGCAGCTCCGGCGACAAACTGCTGATGTAAACAGACACATGCTTCTCCACGGTGAGCTAGCTTCACTTCGCTAATCCCCAGAAAATCCTCGGAGCGCCAACGGGGCCGTTTTGGACAAGAAGGAGGCGCCGGGAGTTATCAACACAATAACGTCAAGAAACGTCCTGAAAGAGACGCTTGGCTCTAATGAGGAACCACAGAGTGAGCGGACCGGTTCTACGGTTCTGTACCGAGACCACGGCCGGTCTGGGACGATAACAAGGAAACATTCAGAACATTCAGAGGTCGACACGTTGGTGGGATTGTTTCATACGATACGAGGTGTAGAGCGAGAAGGAAACCACAGGTGCACTGTAAAAAATATCCTGTTTAAATGTAGTTCTCTGAGTAATGAAATGTACAAAACTGTAAAAAAAAAAAAAAGTATTTATACAAATTACAAATCCTTTCTAAATATTATGTATATTAAGGATTGAAAACATTTTGGTTAAATTACAGACAAAATGTTAAAATCAAAGGGAAAAAAAACATTATTTACACTTTGAGTCTAAAAACAAAGGTTAAAAAATATATATATTTTAAAAAAATTGTAAATAATGTCCAGATTATCCATAAATGAAAAAAAACTGTGTTAATTGTCCTTTTCTTTTCTGACTGTATTTAAATCTGAACTATCATTATTTCATTATTTTACAGATATTTGCTGTTATTTGTAATAATAGTTATGTAATTAAAGTAATATGTGTTAATTGTACATTGTTTATTATATTAATTTACATGCTAACTATATTTTTAAAAAAAGCAAAAACAACAAACAGGCTAAAGTCTAAATGTCAAAATCATCAATTTGTATTTTTACAAATACTAATTTGTTGTTTTACAACACGTGACCATAAAATTACAACATTTTATTATATTTAAAACATCATTATTTTACAAATATTTGCTGGAATTTGATATTTGATAGTTACTTAACAAAAAAATCTTATTATTATTATTATTATTATTGTTATTATTATATGTTTATACACTTTCTTTTTTTAAAAACACTTTTTGAAAGTCACAATAGTCCAACAGTTTTTATATATTTGCTGACAGATGTTTACAGGGTTTAATTGTTTTCACTGACAATGTTTTACTGTTTAAATCCACTGATAAAAATCATTATGTCACAGATATTAGTCATTATTTTCACTATTCATTCTGTAATTCATTTATTTATTTATCTGTATTCAACTATTTTTACACATTTTTTTTTGGCACTATTGCTGACAGATTTTTACAGGTTTTATTATAATTTTTTTTTTTTTTAGCTTTCACTGCTTTTACTTTACGAAATGTAATTATTGTACAAATATTTGTCATTATTTGCACCATTTTTATTCTGTATATCTTTTTCTTTTTAACTGATTAATGTAATTTAAAAAGAAAAAAAAAATTCCACTATTTTTTCATACTTTTGTCTGGCACCCGATTTATTTATTTTATTTTATTTTTATTCTCGCTTTTGTTTCTTCTTTTTTACAGTTTTTTTATTGTTGTTTTTTTCTACCTACGCTGTTCTTACAGGATCATAATTATTAAACATAATTATTTTACAGATATTTCACATTTTTCTTTCCACAGTATTCCACTATTTTTACATGTTTTATCTGCCAGATCTTAACAGTTTTTTCCGGTATGATTTTAATTTTTATTCACCAGTTATTAACGTTATTAACTAATAGACGTCCGGACCACAGAACCGAACCGTTTCTGCTCGTTTCTAATTAAAGTGCGTTAATTGAAGCTGCACCTGTTGAGGTGAACTTCTGACTGATTTCAACCTTTTATAATAAACTCTGGTTTTCTCACCTTGAGCGTCTCCACGTCCAGAGTGGCCGCCGGCTCCATCCCGCTCGTCCCGCTCACATATTCACACAAAGTTCCCGAAAGCGACTTTAAAAATAAATATAAAAAATAAAAAACACGAATTTCTTCCCTTCGATTCCCGTGAAGCGGCAGAAATCCTGGTTCCTGACGGACGTCCTACCGGCGGGTCCCGGTTCGATCCCAGCACAGAGACGGACGGCAGCTCGCGTGCAACACCGGCTCCGGTGGAGTCCGCCGCGACTCCAAACTCAGGCGTCAAGTTAGAGCGCGTGACGCGGAGCATCCGGGGGGCGGCCTTCAAAATAAAAGTCACAACTAATTCCTGCTGTTGTATTTAAAAGATAAAAATAAACGCAGGACCTCCTCAGAATCAGCTCATTTTTTATGTGCAGTAACTTCAGTATATTTAATGACGCCGTGCTAAGTTTTACCTTCTTACTGTGAGTATTTTCAGAGTTACAAACCTTTAAAGTACATACAAATAGGTCGAAATTTAGCATGTTTTGTTTGCTTTTCCACCATTTCTGAGCCCCGTGACTTTATCAATGCAGCAGATGATCAATTTTAAATCCACTCCAGGTGTCATAATCTTAACAAAAGTGTTGTTTCATATGGAACCAATAATATATCTGCATTAGAAGATCATTCTGCCACAGACTGAATCGTGTTTGTAGATGATTCTGGTACCAAATGTTGGTTAAAATTATCCTTTTATTGTCTATGACTTGTTCTGACCAACCGTCACACATGAGCCTTGAAAGTTCACCCACTTTGTAATTTTTTTTCGACAACAGAAACACATCCGATGATCATTTCTATGACTTTATGTCAAACACAATAAACTGCATCAGTTTTATTATTGAAACTGTCATGCTTCACATAATATTGATGCTCAAAGTTGTTAATTTATTTAATCAGAATGAGATTTAGTGGTTAGATTGTGAAACCTGGATGGATGTAGAATTAGCTCCTGCTTGGTCTTACTGTGAAACTTCCGGTCTTCGTGCCACTCAGACGTGATTTTATCTGGTTTGTTTTGCGGCTTCATCAGGTCGCGTTTCTGAGCGTCTGCCGCCCCCTGCAGGAGGAACGAGACGACGGCAGCAAGTAGGAACAGAGTTAATTAAAATCCTCAGCAGACTTCATTAAACTGATCTGATCAATAAAATAAAACCTGGACTGAAGTGAATCTTTACCGACAGTCTGTGGTTCAGTTCGTTCTGCTGAAACTGGACAAATTAGTCCTGAATTTATTTTTGTTTATTCATAATTTTCACATAATTAGAGTTCTGCAGGCAAACAATAAAAAAATACCTACAGTAATAATGGAAATAAAAGAACGTGAAAACAAATATTCAAATGATAGTAACAGGTTGGAAAGGTTTCACAAACTTACTTTAAGGAAACATTAAGTTAACTACATGACGAATGTAAAGAAATGTGAGTTCATGTCTTATATGAAATTCTGGGAGAGTTCCTCGAAAATTCCCTGAAACTTAAAACAAAAAAAAACCCTATCAGAGAACCATCAGAAAACGTTACCAGAACATTTATTAGTTGTAGTAATGATGATGATGATGATGATAAGAATTCATCAGGGAACTCTGAGGCAATTACATAAGCTTACAAGAAATACATCTGCAAAAATAATCATGTGAATTAAATACTATTATTATAGTAGGCGTACAATAATAGTAATGACGTCATATCTTTTATTGTAAATATACGAAAATATTAATTAAATGAGATCAACGGTTTGAAAACAAATGTTNCTTCTGTTTGCCTCCACCGGACCTCTCCAGAACTAAGCCGTCTCCTTTCTCTCCTGGACCTCAGCCGACCTCGGCAGGAACGTGATCCTGACCGGCGGCTGCATCGTGGGCGCCTGCTGCCAGGTCAACACCTGTGAGGTCGTCCCCGAGAACACTGTGGTCTACGGGTCCAGCTGCATCCGCCGGGTCCAGAGCGAGAAGCCTCAGGTCGGTCCTGCTCCGTCCTGCTCGGTTCTGCTCGATTAACCGGCCTCCTGTTCACTTGTGTTCTCCGTCCTGCAGCCTCAGACGCTGCAGCTGGACTTCCTGATGAAGATCCTCCCCAACTACCACCACCTGAAGAAGACGGTGAAGGGCGGCGGCACCCCGGTCCGGAACTGAAGCAGGAACCAACGGTTCTGTCAGCTTCTGGTCTCTGATGTGTGAAAACCAGCTTCACTTTGCTTTTAGATCCATTTTATGCCTGTTTATGACGCGTCTGTGTTGATCAGTGCTCCAGTAAATAAATGGTTCTGCTTGGTGGCCACCAGGAGGCGCCGCTGAGCAGCTCTGTGACGCTCTTTGTTCCATCAAACTCGTCCGATTGTCTGTTTTTGGGGCTAAAAATACACAGAAATCGAGTTTTTTTGTGCTATAAATAGCAGACGGCAGCACGTCTGGTTCGTTACTGGTGCTGGCGGGCGTGGTCGCCCCCCGGGGTGGGATCTGGGGGGTTGCCAGGTCTGTGCCCTCCCACCGGGGGGTTGCCAAATTGGCACTGAGGCTGCGGTGGGAATTCCAGGCGGTTTATTGTTTGGGGCGTGGTCGGGTTCTGGTCGGACCCGGAGCACCTGTTGGGATGAAGCCTGCTGCCGGTCCGGTTCTGGTCCAGCTGCTGCTCGTTTAAACCCGTCATCCTGCAGCCGAGGCCTCGTCCGGCCCGGTTATTCCACGTTTGGGTCGGCGCTGCTCTAATGAGACAGAAGACAGACGAACAGCCGCTGAGGAGTTCTGATGCGGTTCTAAATCCGGATCAGTTATTTTTTCCTCCTCGACTCGTTTGTTGCTGCAGAGTTCAGGTTCTTTATTCTGTGATCATCAATATGAAGAGTCGATGATGAACAAAGAGAAGCTTCAGCTGGAGGCGGCGGCGCTGCACTGTAAAAAATAACCTGTTCAAACTGTTTATGACTGAATTCTATTTACAGTTTATCGGCACTTCACTGATTTTTTTTCTTCTTTTTTTGTTTGATACAGATAACGGAAAATCTAATTCCCAGTTTTGGTAAATTAGAGGTAAAATCTAGTAAAATTACTAAAAAAAAAACAACCCAAAAACATAATTCTCAATTCTTCTTTTTTTAATTTAGTTTTTCACAGATTTCCCTTGTTATGTTAAATTACAGATAATAACGAGTTAGATTTCAGTAAATTATTTTTATTTACATGTTAATAATAAGTAAATAAATAAATACAATAAAAACAGGCCAAAACTGTAAATAATGTCCTCATCAATAGCCAATATTTTCACAAATATAATTTGTTCGTTTACAACATTTGAGTGTAAAATTACACTTTTTTTAAAACAGTATTTAAATAAGCAAAAGAAAAAATATTATTCTACATATATCTGCACTTATTTGAAAGAAATATGTTTATTAAAGGTTAAAATATACAAAATATTTTTTTAACTTTTTTTTTTAGATTCTTTTATTTTATTTGACATTTTAATTACACATAAGTCATGAAATCACAGAAGAAATGTATTAATTTACATGTTAACCTGCAAATAATTTGTTAAATATGTATTTTTACAAATTGTAATTTATCCTTTTACAGTGTTTTACTGTATTTGAAATAGCAGCAACAACCACAAAACAACAACTTTACAGACATTGATGGTTATTTAAAAGAAAAATGAATATTAATTATTATTATCAGGACTGAAAAATAGAAAATAAAATAATTTTATTTTACAGATTTTGCCTGTTTTGTTCAGTTACAGAAAACATGTAGTAAAATCACACAATGAAAAAAAAGAAGTATTAATTTGCTTTAGTTGAGTTTAAAAAAAACAAAACAAAAAAGGCCAAAACTGTTAAAAAAATAAAATAAAATGTCCACATGAAAAATCTGTATATTTATCATTTAGTAATTTGTTTTGTTTTTTTAATCACATCAATTTCAGCTGTTTTTAAATCAGCTCATATCTGAACATCATCTCACCAGATATTCAGCTCTTTGTTTTTTACAGTACAACATTGTGCTATAAAACCATTAAGCCCAGTCCTGCTGGTATGTTGGGATGCAGCAGGTCTCTGGTTTGGTTTTCTGTTGCTGCAGCAGCAGCTCGGTTCAAACGGCCGCCGGCTGGACGATGGAGGCGTTCTGACAGCTGACCTTTAGTCCAGGTCCAGTCCACTTTGAAAGCTGAGACGTGACCTATAGGCCGCAGAGACGTCCTCCGCAGCCCCGCAGAAATAATTAATCTCATCACGACGGGGATCCAGAACCGCCGGACGTCTTTAGAGCAGCATGGATCCGTGGACCAGCGCCACCAGCACCACCAGCAACACCTCGACCCGACGGGAACCTTCAACACGCCGTCGTACTAATGACACCAGGACCAGTGCAGATGTTCCTCATGAGGTTCATCCACTGACCTCTATGGGTCTAAAACGGGTCAAAAAATTTGAAAATTTTGATTTTTTCTCCATTTTCAAGACCCAATTTTTAAAAATATGTCATCTGCTGGATCCATTCAATCATTATGATCTGATGGAAACTATCCTGTCTGTGTTTTCACCAAGTTTCAAGGCTGTGGGAGTTTTGCTTCTGGAGATATTGAGCCTGTAAAATGGCTAAAATGTTCTTTTTTAAGGATGAAATACAAAAAATTCCAGATTGGAAAACAAAATNTCAAAGCGCCGCTGGGGGGCAGCAGAGAACAGCCAGACAGGCACAATCACACCCCGAGCTGCGGCTGCGCAGGACGGACAATCGATCCCGGAGTGATCGGCGGGCAGCAGGATGTCGGAGGCGAAGCAGATAATGGCTCAAAAAAGGTGAATATGAGGAACGCGGTCCAGATAAAGGCTCGTTCAGGAGAAAATTAACGTCTTCTGTTCATTAAAACGTCGTTTATTAACCGTGTGGATCCGGTGGAGGCAGCGGCGTCCATGTTGTTTTAGTGTCGGGATGAAAAGAGGCTTAGATGGATGTAAACGGCTTTAATTAAATTAATTAAATTATTGTGTGTTTTCAGCGCCAAGATCGCAGCTGGAGCCGTAGTTTGTGTTGAGAGTGAGATCAGAGGAGACGTGACCATCGGTGAGACCCTGACCTCCTGATTATTTATATTTATTTATATTTATTATTTAGGAATAAAGCTCAGTGTTGTTGTTGTTGTTGTTGTTGTTGTTGTTGTTGTTGTTGTGCAGGAGCCAGGACGGTGGTCCACCCCAAAGCCCGGATCATAGCCGAGGCCGGACCCATCATCATAGGAGAAGGAAACCTGATCGAGGAGCAGGCACTCATCATTAACAGGTATACAGACAGGTATTATTGTTGTTGTTGTTGTTGTTGTTGTTGTTTACTTTAATCCTGTCTGCTGTGCCTCCTGCAGCTACCCAGAGAACATCATGCCGGACGCTGAAGGAGTCGAGCCCAAGACGATGACCATCGGCACCAACAACGTGTTCGAGGTCGGCTGTGGTATCCTTCATAGAGATAATCATCATCATAGTAATAATAATATGAGTTTATTATGAGCAGGATCCACTAGAATCACATTGCACAGAAAATAAACATGTTTGTTTATTAAATTTACTGTTTGCGTCACATTAAGGATCAATTTGAGAAAAAATACGACGAGTTCTTTTTCTGAAATATGTGGAAATGTGGGAAAATAAAATAGTTTTTCTCCGTTAAAATCAGATCAGCATCAAAATGTGAAACTTTAAAACTAACATCGTAAGTTTGTATCATCAAAATGACTCATGAAGGAAAAAATACAGAATTATTCCATCATGGTTTGATTAAACTGAACTAAATATATTGATTTTTAACAGAAAACCGATCAGATCGTAAAAGTTTCAGCTGGAATTTATTCATTTGATAAAGTTCTGGGAGGACGTGTTTGTATTTCAGCTCCCAGAATGTTTCTAAAAACGTTCTTCTTGACTGTTGATGTCCTTCGTTTGTCGTCGTGTAACGCTGAGGGAATGTTTAATGAAATAATCTTCTAAAATGTGGATTAAAATAAGATAATTCTTCATTAATCTCACACATGTCTGGTTAATGTGACGCAGATTCTTCTGGATTTAAACATTTAGAAGTTGCACAAACTGTTCAGTAGATAAAAGACTTTGTCCAGGTTCTTGTATTTTTAGTAGAAATTGATCTTAAAGACAGTTTGTCAACATAAAAAATCTTAATAATCAACACGTTTAAATCTTGAGTTTGATCCACATGTTCCAGTTAAAATGTTCTGTTAACATTTAACGTCACAGGAACATTGTTTTAGTTAAGAAATATCCTCAAAACGGTCTTTGAACGTCAGATTAAAACCTCCTTTGATGGGATTTGTGTTGGTTAAAAAGAAAAACGTGTTGAATTTTTACTGTTGTCGTTTAGTAGTTTGTCCAGCAGAGGGCGCTGCTGAGCCACAACATTAAAACCACCGAATACAGAGAAAAGAAGCATCTCAGTTACAAAAAATGCTTTATTTATGTTGTTTTCTATCATTAGAACCAGCCTGTAGCCTTAGTTTTTAGCTAATGTGTCATTTTTTTGACTTTTTAATGTTTAAAAATTAATTATGTGTGAAAACAAACAATTAAATTCTCCTTTAAGTGTTTCATAAACGTTTTAATACAAATAATCGGATGTCAAATATATATAAATATAAATACTGTCGTAAAACGAGTAAAATAGTTTTTAACTGCAACAATCTTCAGTTAATTCTGGAGCTTTTAAAGTGTGGTTTGAGTTTTTACAAGTAAATTTACATAAAAGTCATGAAAACGAATGAATTCTCCTTTAAATGAAGACGATTGTGATGTTTAATTAAACACATTTAATTTAATTTAATATGAGCTTTTAAATGTAACTTTCACCTACAGATCTTGACACGTCTTTAATGTCGAATAAAAATATACGTTTACCTTTAAAATAACAGATTTATGTTTTAAAAAATAACTTAAATAATTTGTGATTATATTTACAACAACAAACAGTTAATTCTGCGTCAAATCAAGAAAAACACAAGTTTTTAAAAATAAGTTTGCATAAAAATCCAGAATATTTGACAAGTTTTAGTGTTAAAATAAGTCTGTCTGTAAAATTAGTATTATTGTTGTTGTTGTTGTGAGTTTATACACAAACAACCATCAGTAACTAAACGACGTGTTGATCAGTCGGCCTCCAGTTTAAACAGTTCAGAGCGTTTCTAGTCCTTCACGTCTCCGTCAGTCTCTCAGGCGCTGAAGATCGGAGACAACAACGTGATCGAGTCTAAAGGTGAGTTCTGGTTCTGGTTCTGTTCATGTGGAGCAGAAACATGAACTTCTGTTTGCCTCCACCGGACCTCTCCAGAACTAAGCCGTCTCCTTTCTCTCCTGGACCTCAGCCGACCTCGGCAGGAACGTGATCCTGACCGGCGGCTGCATCGTGGGCGCCTGCTGCCAGGTCAACACCTGTGAGGTCGTCCCCGAGAACACTGTGGTCTACGGGTCCAGCTGCATCCGCCGGGTCCAGAGCGAGAAGCCTCAGGTCGGTCCTGCTCCGTCCTGCTCGGTTCTGCTCGATTAACCGGCCTCCTGTTCACTTGTGTTCTCCGTCCTGCAGCCTCAGACGCTGCAGCTGGACTTCCTGATGAAGATCCTCCCCAACTACCACCACCTGAAGAAGACGGTGAAGGGCGGCGGCACCCCGGTCCGGAACTGAAGCAGGAACCAACGGTTCTGTCAGCTTCTGGTCTCTGATGTGTGAAAACCAGCTTCACTTTGCTTTTAGATCCATTTTATGCCTGTTTATGACGCGTCTGTGTTGATCAGTGCTCCAGTAAATAAATGGTTCTGCTTGGTGGCCACCAGGAGGCGCCGCTGAGCAGCTCTGTGACGCTCTTTGTTCCATCAAACTCGTCCGATTGTCTGTTTTTGGGGCTAAAAATACACAGAAATCGAGTTTTTTTGTGCTATAAATAGCAGACGGCAGCACGTCTGGTTCGTTACTGGTGCTGGCGGGCGTGGTCGCCCCCCGGGGTGGGATCTGGGGGGTTGCCAGGTCTGTGCCCTCCCACCGGGGGGTTGCCAAATTGGCACTGAGGCTGCGGTGGGAATTCCAGGCGGTTTATTGTTTGGGGCGTGGTCGGGTTCTGGTCGGACCCGGAGCACCTGTTGGGATGAAGCCTGCTGCCGGTCCGGTTCTGGTCCAGCTGCTGCTCGTTTAAACCCGTCATCCTGCAGCCGAGGCCTCGTCCAGCCCGGTTATTCCACGTTTGGGTCGGCGCTGCTCTAATGAGACAGAAGACAGACGAACAGCCGCTGAGGAGTTCTGATGCGGTTCTAAATCCGGATCAGTTATTTTTTCCTCCTCGACTCGTTTGTTGCTGCAGAGTTCAGGTTCTTTATTCTGTGATCATCAATATGAAGAGTCGATGATGAACAAAGAGAAGCTTCAGCTGGAGGCGGCGACGCTGCACTGTAGAAAATAATCTGTTCAAACTATTTATCAATGAATTCTATTTACAGTTTATCGGCAC